CTGGGAGCGAGCATGACTGTGGCCAGGCTCCATGGCGCCATCTTGGACCAGAACTCCTAGCTCCAAAGCAGCAGGATCCATGAATCATTGCTTATATCTCCTCCATATCTCCATCCCAACCACATGGAGCAAAGAGACGGGGTGAGGACCAGCCCACCTCTTATCACCCTTCCCTTAGCTTCCCCAACTCCAGACCTTGATGGAAGGCTAAGAATAAGAAATTCTACTATTGGTTATGGCCATTTCTGCTGAGTCACATGAGCTCTGCTCCAAATTTCCACAGAGTAAAAAAAAAAAAAATAAAAGCCATCCACTGGACATGGATGCACGCCTGTATTTCCAGCACTTGGGAGGCTGAGGCAGGAGGATCACTGTGAGTTTAAGGCCAGCCTGAACTGCATAGTCAAACCCTGTCTCAAAAAGACAAAAGCAAAAAAAAAAAAAAAAAAAAGCCACCCTTAGGACTTTATTAAGTATGTCATAGCAAAGAGGAGACAATTCAAAACACCTAAGGAAAAACATCCAGAGAAGAGCATGGTGGCACATATCTGTAATCCCAGCATTCTGGAAGCCTGAAGCAGGAGGACTGTAAGTTCGAGCTCCGTCTGCAGGCAGCCTAGCAACTTAGGGAGACCCTGTCTCAAAATAGAGAATAAAAAAGGGCTGGCCACATAGCTCAGTGTGACAGCCCTGGGTTCAATCTCTGGGATCACAGAATAAAAACAATCCAAGTGCTGAAGTGGTGGGACAATAGATTCTATAAAATGCTAAGGAACATAGACTTGTGTCTAAGGGTAAATCACGGCTGCGCCGACGCAGAGCAGTTTCGGGGAAGACCCGAGGACATCCATAGAGGTGCAAGGAGCACATGTGGGGAACTGGACAAGATGGGGCAGAGCCACTGCCCAGTCTCCTGCACCCCAGATAATGTGAATAGCAAAGCAAGACGTAAAAAGCGCCACCCCAAGTGTGGCCGTAGTTTGTTCAGCCCAATGTTTTGTAGTAGGGGAGAGAATATTTCATTCAAATATTTTGGAATTCAAATACGCGTCGGGGAGTTCCCTGAGACGTCACCCCACCACCAGTCAGGGTCCCTCGTGGGATGTGCCCCACTGTTATCAAGCCTCAGAGCTAAGCCCAGGGCTGTCCACGGATGTCCAGTGGGCTGTCCACGGATGCCCATCATTCAAGCCTGGGTTTGTGAGCAGAGATGGGCTCTTTCTGTTGGAAAATGAAGCAAGCATTATTTAAGTTCCTCTTCACTTAATGCATCAAACTAATCTGCCAAGGTATTTCTGTATCACAAGGGACCGTTTGCTAGAAGCTTGCATGGCATAAGCATTTAATGTTTACTGAGTGAATGTATAATAAAGCCCCATCGCTGAACACTTAAGTAAACATGGCTTATTAGAGGGAAGGCCGCGTGGTGTCAGGAAGGAGAAATCACGCCTCACTAATCTCCTTGAGTTTCTTAGCAGATAAATAAGCATATGGATAAGAGGGAACCACAGAACCCAGTTTAATTTGACTTTCAAAAACCTGCGAGAAAATCCCACTCTAACGCCTGTTTTTTAAAAATTGAGTCACTAAGGGTTGTTTTATCATGAATATGGAATTGGTTTAAAGACCATAAACAAAGCTAAAGATAAGTGAATACATTCCCAGATGGAAAATTATAAACAGTAGGGATTCCTCAGATCTAATCTATGATGGGTCTTTTTCTATGCTTGTGAATGACCCCGATGAAGAAGTGAATATTGAATTCCCTGGTTCGGGTTAGACCTCCTTCTTCTGGGGAGAATTTCAAGTTGATAGCGATGCAATTCCAGTTGGAGACTGAATAGTCATGTGTTTGGGCCATGCGGTATGAAAAAGAGCTGGAAGATATAGTTCCTCGTCTTAAAGAATTAATAATCAAGTTAGAATAGAAGCCATGGCTTCCTTTACTGTAAGGCACAGTGGGACCACTTACAAAAGTGAATGAGGCATAAGAGTTCAGACGTGGGGGACAGTAGATGTCAAGAGAGATGGGGAGGTCTTCCTGGAGGAGGCAGAGTCTACAGAGATCTTAAAGAACAGCTAGGGTTTGGATGGGTGCAGAAGAGGTGCAGGGCTTTCTTGCTAAAAACTGCTACTGGACATTGTCCTTGTTCTCCTGCCAAGCACTGAGCAGGCACGGGGCTTGAATGCATGATAGCTTTATGATAGTCCAGTAATGTAGGTGGTAGGCCCATTTTCCAAGGGAAGAACAAGAGGCTTAAAAAAGAAGCTGGCTCACAATGACATTGCTAATAAATGGGAGACCCACAGTTTGGCAGCCTCCCATTCCAGGGCCTGTCAGCACAAGCAAAGGTCCAGGGGCAGGACTGTCTGGAGGCCAGTGGAGGTGACACCTGGTATTGGTGGGCAGTGAGAGTAGGATGGAGCATATGGAATGGATCTAAGTTATAGGGGTCCTTAACTCTTCTCTGGGAAACTTGAACTTAATGCTGAAGGCTTAATCCTGTGTTGAGTGGAAAAGGAAGGAAATTGGAACTATACTTTGAAATTTTGAGCCCTGGACCTAGAGACTTAGCCAAGGGGACTGGAAGGAATAGATGAAGCCAGTCGATTTGTTCAGAGGAGAAATTGGCCGAGGCTGAGAGCAAATTTATTTGGCGTCTACAGAGATCTTAAAGAACACGTGGATTAGCCTTGTGTGCATCTAGCACAGATATTGGAGTGTGGACCACTTCCGGGTGATGTCCTGGAGGTCATCTGAGCCATATGGAGACGCACACAGTTGTCATGTTCCACCTTGCTGCTCAGAGACTCAGGCGAGCTCAGGCAGCATGCTGGCTCCAGAGCGCCTTTGCCACCTGCTCAGGTGGGCGTGGTGCCAACGCCTTTTGACTCACTGCCTCCCTGGCTCCTTTAGCGAACACCCCTCGCTCACAGTATGGATAACATATATTGAATAGGGAGACTCAGTCTCTGAGATCCCAGCGAGCCAGAAGCCCTCTGGGGGTCTTTGAACAGGGAAACAATGTCACAGTGTTTGGGAAGGGAATCTAAAGGCCACACCTAAATGTCTGCTCTTCCTTTGGCCATTCCAAGGGGGTGGAGGCAGCAGGACAGGCTGTCACTGTCACCTCTTTCTGGGGCCACGCGGTGTCTAGAGCTGGGCACGATGCTCTGGCCAGGTCAGAAGATGAGTGCATTTTGGGTGAGTAGTCCATTATTTGATTAAACTGTGACACCTAGAAATGTCACCTGAAGCAGCCGTCTCTTGCAGTGCAGTAGAAAGAGCACTAGATTTGTTCTGAAGGCGGTAGCATGCAAACGTCTGCTATTCCTCGAGTTAGGTGAGTGACAAAGGTGGGTCCCTGAACCCCTCTGAGCCTTAGTGTCCTTGTCAGTGAAACGGAAACACTGACGCTACCAGTCTCATAAGTTTTTGTGATGATGAAAAACAAAAACAGAGGCAAACAACCAAGCTAACAAATCCCTCTGGATGGCTGAATGGGTACAGAGTGCAGTGGGATGGACTTCCGGTCCCCCAGGTATCTCACATCCAGCAAGCTTTCCCCATGTGCACCCTGGGCAGCCTGAGCTCCCCACTGCAGGAAGCTCCGTGCCGTGCTGATCTCTGGTGAATGAATGACCAGCCTGCCCTGCTCACTGCCCATGAGCGCCTTGCAGACAAGATGGCATTTCCTCTGTCTTCACCCTCAGCACCGAGACACTGCTTGGCCAATGGCAGATGTGCAGAAAGTTTTCCAAGTAATCACCAGAAGAGTGAGTACATTACCTACCACCCCGGTCAGAGTAGAAAATAAAGTTTTATTTGACATCTCTCCCAAAAACTGATTGGCACAGGACTATCGGGATTCTTACAAGCATCTGTTTATGTAACTCACTTCAGATTTTTCCCAGGAATCAACATAAAAATTTTTGGTCCTCTCTGGTAGCATTCCTGTTTCCACATTTTTTTGAAAATATGAACAACACTGACCTCTGCCATTTTCTATCCTCTTTCTAATTTTTTGAGGTTTTTCATCAAAGATTTTGAAGTACTTTGTGCTTTCCAAAAATGATGGGATATGTAGGTTGGAGAACAGAACTAATAGAGGTTTCTTGGGGACAAATTTCCTGAGTAATGTGGTTTATCTTCCCTTTCTGACTTTCGTACTTTTACACTTTCTGATACTGTTCCATACACTCTTATATCAAGAGGTATAGGCGTAAGACTCTTGAAATTTTGCTTTCCTCCTTTTCTTTTCTCATAACTGCTCAGTATCCTCGGTCACTTGGTCTGTGCCATCCAGAGTCCCCTAGTTTTGAGCACAGCTTTAGAAAACATCCCTGATTTTAGTATTTTTGTTAACCTCAACTTCTCCTGAGTTTCACTTTCTTGAAGTGTTTCTTAAATGTAATGCCTCCTGTCTGTAGCAGTTCTGTACACTCTCCCTCTCAAATCCAAGTTCACTGGGAAGCTTAGTGTTTAGTAGGACTGACCTAGACCCAATAAAACTGGGGCCATCATACTCCTAGTGGGTCTCTCATACACACAGTCTTTTCATCTTAGAGTGGCCCTCCAGGACATTCATAGGCAGAGAGGTGGGCTTTATACACCATGGAGTATTACTGTACTAAAGAAGATTAAATCTGAGTCATTTGTAGGAAAATGGGTGTACCCTGAGATCACAATGCTAAGTGAAATAAGTCAGATAGCTTAAATATCACATGGCTTCTTTTATATGAGAAACTTCAAGTATACATAACTTAAAGAGCAAAATAAAGGATGGACTATAGGAATTAGAGAGATAGATCTTTTGCAAGGGAAAATGGGATCTAGAGGTAGAGGGAAGAGGGAGGGAGGCAGGGGGAGGGGGAGAAGTAAAAAGAATGAAGGTGTGCTATACACGTGTACCAATGCTCCAGGATGAATGCAATCACTGTACGCTGCAAACATGTACCAGCAAAAACTTTTTAAAACATATACCAAGACAGCTACATACCATTCTGTTGGTAAAGTTGTGGAAGTTCTCAACCAACACCTGCTTGATCATGTCTGGCTCAGAAATAACAATATACATTCGACGACCAAGATAGTACCTGGGGGGAATAAAAAAAATTACTTTAAAATGTGTTGCCTTTATCTATTCATTTCTCTCCCCCCCCAAAAAAAAAAAATTCACAGTGGCTTTGAATGAAGGGTAAAGATACACAGGAAGTAAAGATGTAGAGGAGATGAGGAAATATATGTTGTAATCCTAAGGGACAGTAGAACTATGATGATCTGACATCAGAGTTCTTCCACCAACATTCATGGAATGCCACCGTGTACCGTCCCTGGAGAGTCTAGGTCGGATAAGACACATCCCTGCCTTAAGGAGCTTATGTCCTGATGGGACAGTAGATCTTACAAGTGTCAGTGCAGTAAGAAGAGGTTCGTAAGATCCAGCAGTAAGACAAAGGAAAAAGGCAGAGGTCAGTGTTGTCTGTATTTGCCAAAAATGGGGAGGTAGGCATTCTAGCAGGGGAAGACCATAACCTTTGCATTGCTCCTTTAAAAGTATAAAGAAAATGACTAAACAGATGCTTGTGAGAATTAAAAAAGATTAGGTTTTCTGGGGACAGGCTGAACACCTGGTTTCTACAACTGTAGATGAAAAAGCTAGAGAGATATTTACTACATTTCAGGAAGAAATGGAAGAAAGGATCAGCCAGTCAGCTGTCGGTGGTGACCTCCTTCTGGAGTGAGTGCTTATGTGCATGTCTTAGTATATGCCTGGTACACGGTGGCATTCCATGAATGTTGGTGGAAGAACTCTGATGTCAGATCATCATAGTTCTACTGTCCCTTAGAGAGAGACAGGGTCTTACTATGCAACTCAGGCTGGCCGCAAGCCGATGGCAGTCTCCCACTCCTGCCTCCTGAGTGCTGAGATTATCGGTGTGCACTTCAACCTGCAGCTTTCATTGTATTTTTGAGAGTACAATACAGTGAGGTGCAAGGCAACCAGGATTAAGTAGCAGTGTCATTGTCTAACGTGAGGGACAAGTAGGCCATCAGCAAAGAGTGTGATGTCCTGGAGTGGGAGTGACACTGGAGGAACACCCAGCTCTGTGTTCCCCTCAGTGTTGGGGAGGGGAGAATGCAGGCTTCCCAGAGGCGGTGCTTCCTGGGTGAGCTCAGCAGAAGTTCATCCAGGAATGTGCTGACAGAGGAGGACAGTGTGCCAGGCAGAGGAGTGAGCTTGGGTACTGTCTGGGGCCACACTGGCTTGGGAAACACAGTGAGCTCCAATGATCAACCGTGCCAGGCAAAGGAGAGCAAGGCAGGGGACTTCTGTGCCATGCATGGTCCTACCGCATGGCCTTATGCCTTCAGGGATAATTTGACCAGTGCTGTATGCAGCTCAGAGCGTTAGAAGCAGATTTTAAAGTGCGAAGCATCTCAGTTTACTCTAGCATTCTTAGCTTGAACTTTTCATAAGCCAAAGTATTATGTTAATTTTTTAATTCTTCTCCTTGTCATTGATTTGAGGGAAGTGAGGAAAGAAATTGTCTGGCACAAATTAGACACTTAGAAACTCTTCACCTAGCTGATCATACTTTCCAAAGCTGCCAGGGAGATCTTTGGTCCACAGGAACTCAATAGCTATAGTACAAGCAAGAAAAGGACACCCAGTAGCTTCTCAATGGTTTTAACCTAGAGGACGAAAAGTAACACTATAAGGCCATAAGCCAATGCTTCTAGAAAACTTAGGGCAAGTGTCATGGGGTCTTCTGAGAATTGAGGGAAAGCTGTCTGCACCTTCCTAGGAAAAATGAATACCTTACAGTATTTTGTATACAATTTCAGGGTTTCTTGGATCCCTGAACCCTATTCCAGAACAGTGATTCTCAAAAAAAAATTTTAAATGACTCTTTGAGACAGGGTTTCAGTATACAATTCAGGCTGACCTTGAACTTATTTCATAGCCCAGGCTGGCCTCAAACTTGCAGTGATCTTCCTGCCTCAGCCTCCCAAGTGGTGGGATTAGAGGCATGCACCATCACACCAGGCTCTCAAACTTATCATTGGCTATTTAAGAAATGTAAATTAAAACAGCACAGATTCCATTTCACTCCACAAATAATGGCTATTATCAAGAAATCAGTCAATAACAAATGCTGGAGAGGCTGCAGGAGAAAAAGGAACCCTTCTTCACAGTTGAGGTATAAACTGGTATAACCACTATAGAAATCACTATGGAGATTCCTAAAAAAAAGTAAAAGAAGAAATTCCATTTCTACTGTGCCCCTTCTAGGTATCATCTGCAAAGAGTTAAAGACATCATATCACAGTGATGTACGCATACCTATGTTTACAGCAGCACCTTGGATTTATAGCTAACTCTTGGAAGTAGCCTTTATGTCCACCAACAGATGAATGGATAAAGAAAATGTATTTATGCATAATGGAGTATTACTGTGCCATAAAAGGTGAAAGATTTATATGATCTGAAGAGAAACCAGGGTATACTCTACCATAAAGAAAGCTAAAGTTGGGATGGGGATTTAGCTCAGCGGCAAAGCGCCTGCCTGGCAAGTGCAAGGTCGTGAGTCTGGTTCCCGGTACCGGAGAAAAAACAAAAAAAAAAGAAAGCTAAAGTTGAGTATTTGTAGGAAAATGGATGCACCTTGAGACCATAATGTTAAATTAAGTAAATCAGACACACAAGTTCAATACCACATGGTTTCTCTTATATGAGAAACTCAATATATAAATAAAATGCAAAGTAAAAGACAGACAAGAGGAAAGAAGAAAAAAATTATTGTTATCCAGCATGGACATGTGTCTAAAATGTGCCTTGATTTATTATAATTGCATTATGTGTTTTGTAGGATTTTTGCCCTATTAGTCTGGCTGTTAACCTGTATGTACAATAGTTAACTTTACAGGAACTTATAAAATGAATGAATGAATTTGATGCTGGCAAGAAAGAAGGATTGAGGGGAAGGGGGAAAAGTAATGAGATGTGTTCTGTATGCGTGCCAGTTCCGCAGAATGAATGTACTATGAACATGTACTAATAAAAATTAAAAAGTTTAAAAGTTATGTTAATTTAAAGAAAGAACATCTGGAAATTTCCCCCGTCCGGTAAAAGACAAGTTTATAGATTGAAAATGCTGAGTGAACTTTGAACAGTGTAAAGACAAAGAACTCTATACCATCATTATTAACCTTCTGCGAGCTAAACTAGAAAGGAAGGAAAGAATGAGGGAGAGAGAAAGACAGAGAGAGAGAGAGGAAAAAAAGAAAAGAAAAGAATCTTGAAAGCAACCAGAGAGAGATGATGGATCACCTATAGGGAACACCAATTCAAAGGACAGCTGATTTCTCATCAGAAACTATGGAGACCAGAAGGAAGTGGCACATTTTTCAAGCGCTGGAAAGCAAAGAATTGTCGATCACAAGTTGTCTATCTGTTGAACACATTTTTCAGAAAAGACGTAGAAACATCATCTTAGACAAAGCAAGGCTAAGAATTTGTCTCTGACAGACCCTACTCTTAAAGAAAGACTAAGAGTTCTCCAGTGAGGAAGGAAATGGTAACGGGAGAAAGTTTGGGAACTTCAGAAAGAAAAGTGCTGTGGAATAGGTAAAAATAATAAACTATCCTATTTTCATGAGTTTCAAAAATTATACTTGATGGATGAAGTAAAAATTGTAACACCATCTGATGTGATGAGGGTATTTAGAAGAAATACTTTCAAGCTGAGCATGATAGTGCAGGCCTATAATTCTCGCTACTTGGGAGGCTGAGATAGGAGGACTACAAGTTCAAAGCCAATCTGGGTAATTTAATGAGACCCTGTCTCAAAAGAAAAATATTTTTTTAAAGGATGAAGATGTATCTCAGCGGCAAGGTAACCCTGGTCTGAGTCCCAGGAATACAAAAACTATTTTTTAAAAAATAGTAAAAAATAAATACTCCAGGAAATTATACTTCAAAAATGTGAACATAAAAGGAAGTGAGATTTCTACATGTCACTTGAATCATACACTCATAAATTATGCACATTTGTGCAACCACTAATAAAATTATACAGTGATCTAAAAACTTTAGTAGGTCAAAATGGAATACTAAATAATGTCCAAGTAACCCACAAGTTCATAAAAGTGAAACAAGAAATGAGGGAACAAAATAAAATATCTTGCTACATTAAATATAAATATAATAATTAGATAACATATAAAAACCCAGAGTTGCCACTAAAATTATAGCACTAAAGGGTTAGGGATATAGCTCAGCAGCACAACACCTGCCTGGAAAGTGCAAGGTCACAAGTTCAATTCCTGGCTCCAAAAAGAAAAAAAAAAACAAAAAAACAAACGTTTATTTGCCAGGGAAATAGCTCAGCCACATAAGCACCTGCCTGGCAAGTGCAAGGTCTTGAGTTTGGTTCCTGATACAAAAATAAATAAATAAATAAACTTATAGCACCAAATGCTACCCTAGAAAAGTGGAAATACCTTAAATGAATAAACTATTTCCTACCCCCAAGAAACTAGAAAAAGAAAAATAAAAACCTAAGCCATACAAGAAGGAAATAAACATGATAAGAGCAGAAAGCAATGAAGAGAAAACAAAACAGTTTTAAAATTAATAAAACAAAAAATTAACTATTTGAGAAAATCAATGAATTTAATAACCATTTAGCAAGACCAACAAGAGAGAAGACACATATCACCAAATTAAGAGCGGGAAAGTGTCTCACCATAGATATGCTAGTCAAAAAAGGACAACTACAAACAACTTTAGACTGATGCTTTTGAAAACTAAGACACAATGGACCAGTTCCTTGAAAACAACAAACCTCTAAAATTCAACCAAGATGAGTGAAACAACTGAAATAATCCTATGTGCATAAAAAATTGAATTCATAGTTTTAAGTTTCCTGAAAAAACATCTCCATGCCCAGATGGTTTCAATGGATAATTTTACCAAATATTTACAGAAGATCTAATGACAGCTTTGTACAATCTCTTCTAAGAGGTAAAAGAGGAGAGAACATTTCTCAACTCAATTTATGAGAACCAGAATGAGATAAAGGTGGTACGA